TTCATTTATTCCCCATCCTGCTCTTCAATATGAAAACACTAGTGAAAAATTTTTATTGCCTAAATTTTAGCAGTTCTTAGGTAACCATATTGAAAAGGCAGGGTGAAGCTAAATGGACCTGCTCAGTGCTGCTAGGCTCCTTCAGAAGTAAGGCTACTTTAAGTAGTTATGATTTTAGCAGAAATGCATCTTTGCCACTTGCTTCACTGCTTAGATACTTCCCTTTTAATGTATTTAAGAAATTAAAAGCTAAGAACTGCCTGGAAATGCAAACTACTTATAAAAGGACACTGAATCTGGGGGCAACAGTCATCATGGAAATCACTGTTGCAAGAATAGTCACAAAATCATCAGAGCTGTGAGAGCACTCTGTGTGCTTCAAGGATCCATGGTCTCCTTCCCTCCCTCCACTGGCTCTTTCTGCCTTATTCAAGGACATTAACTCCAAGAGGAACTCTTCTCTCTCCCTCTTGTTCCTTGCCTGTCTGCTGGCTGCAAGAACCTTGAGTCTGCAAGAAACTGTTGACCTACCTAATACCTGAGCAGGATGGTGGTGTGTGTATGTTTATCTGAGTGCGTGTTTTCTTCACAAATTCTGTCTCTATCTCTCTAATGTACAAATAAATCGTTACTGCATACAAATACAGTTTGGCCAGTTATGTATTATGGGCTAAAACTCTAGCTAATGTCTGTGACTGTAGCATTAGTTTTGATAAACATTTGCATGTAAACAGGACAGACAGTTACAGAACTTGCATCAGAACTATTATAGAGTTATGTAGAACTATTTTACTATTATTTTGATTTCTTTCGAAAACATAAAATTTTAGTTCGGAGATGTAAAACCTGTTCTTAAGAAGGAGCACCTTACAATATATGCAATACATCAACACATTCAAAGTATGGTTAAGTCAAAAGTGAGCTGACTATCTGACTGCAGAGAATCATAGAATCATTTAGGTTGGAAAAGACCTAAAGACTCAGAATGATTTATTGTGTTGCATTGTTCCAAGTACTGAAATTAAATGCGATTAACTATATTGATAACAGCATTATACTATTAAATGGTGTAACATGAAGTTCTGGTAAGATGTATTCCCAATTCATATAAGCTGTTCCATTTGTTGACAAATTATTTGCATTGGAAACAGACCCCCTCCCTGTAAAGTAAATGCATGGAAAAAGTTTAAGTAAAGCAGTATATATCCCTTTTAATTGTCTTATCTTTCAGGTTTTCCTAATGACTCACTGCTAAATGATACTTTCAGCTGGTGAAATGTGGTTGACAAGAACATCTTTAAAGTACACCATTTTCACAAAAAGAATCTTGAAATATTCTGCCTCCTCCAAAACTCTTCGCTAAAAATGTAACTTCTGAAAAAAAAATCAAAACCTTTTATCTGCCTGAAAACCAGCAAAATTTTGTCTTGAAGTCTAAAATTCACTCTCTGTTTCTAGTTTTCAAGGAACGTTCCACCTTTAACCAAATATAAAGGATTCTGAGATGCAAATTAAATATCCTCTTCCAATAAGAATTGATTTTTAATGGAAAAAATGTCAGCGGAAAATTTCAGTCTATTCTGCCACTGACATTAGTGGATCCAAGCTAATACAGATTGCACTAGAGGACCGAGAGACATATTCCAAGTGTTTTCTTAGTTATTTGGCACTTGGTTTGCAAGAGTTATTGTTTTCAAAATTTTCAGAATTTCTAAAACTACAGACTTGCTCTTGGAAACCACCTTTACCTGAGTCAGTGGCACAGTTTATATAGGACAAGAGCATGCTAGGGAGGCACAGGAATATTTAATTTGGTAGTCCACTGTTTTTCTATTGTAAGAATTAAGGGTACAGTATGAAACTAGAAGAGTCATATTTTCCTATATGCAGAACAAGATAACCTTCATGCTATCTGTTCAGTGTGGCTCGCTTCCAAGGCCTTGGAAACATATATAAACAAATCCACTTATCTATATTTGATTAGTAGGCTTGGTGTACCTCATCCTGTTCAGTTTTACAAAAAAGCCTCACAATGCAAACAACTAAAAATACATTGTTACAGATTCTTAATTGGATTTTAATTCGCCACTGCTTTCAAGGAGAAATATAGCTTCCTCATTCTCTGTGAGTCAACTAGTCAAAAAGTTATTCTGGCAATTTTGTGCGATCCCTGCCTTCATTTAATACTGATCTTTAATGAATGGAAGTTTCCTTGACACCCCCTCCGTGAGACTAAGGAATAGGATGAGTAGTGAGGAAAAACAGGCTATTGCAATGGTAGTGCAGGTCTGGCAGGGCCCTCTGGAGGTCACAGGCTCTTCCAAGGGACACATATCCAGGCCGCGGCTCAGCAGTGTCGTGACTTCCCCCAGTGCAACAGGTATGGCTACGTCATCGTTTCTGTCTGGCAAAATAAGGCATTAAAGCAAGAGGTAGTCTGGGACACAACAGAATAAACCCACAATACAGAGGCACAGCAGAAGGAGAGCATGAGAAGGAAGTCAAATTAGACTGAGACATGATACACAATAAATCTGAAAGTGACTAATGAGACAAACTGGACAAGATTTCCAGTAAGCTATCCTAGACCTTGCTAATCTGCCCCTGTGGTGATTCAACTTACTGATTGTGGGGAAGAATAGGAAAGGGCAGTGGCAATTACATAAGAAATGCAGGCAATTATTTATCACCAATTTTTTGTTTTTGTTTTCTTTTAGAAACAATAAATCAATTCAGACTGAAAACTCTTGGCCTGACCTGGTTAGATCTTTGTCTGGCAAGAGCTCCAAAGTCTTCAAACTTAGTTTCAGTCAGTTTTTTGACACAGACATCCTGGCAATTCTGCAGGGTAAGTCATGGATGGCAGAATTAATTATGGTTTTGCATCAGGTTAAACTGATTAAATCTGCTTTTTTTAACATGAGAAATAAAACCCTAAAAATATATTACTCCCTCCTTACATTTAGAACTATACGTTCATATATACTTATACTGCATGACAGCATATCATTTCTCAATGAACAGAAAGAGGAGGAAATGAGAGACCTGTTTGAAGCAACACATATATCCTGTGGTATAAAGAAACCACAAGAAAAGCTTGCAGGGTAATGCTTTTCAGTGCATTCATTTCTGCTACTTTCTTTACAGTTCTAGTCTACCACAAGATAAGAGGAAAAGGGCGGGTAGAGGTGTCTCACAGGGAACCAAATACTCCTCCTCCATTTCAGCAGCAGTGAACTCAAGTTTCCAAGAGCTGGTAAACAAGGATTCTGCAAACTATTATTGTCCTAAATCTCATTTGCTATTTAATCCATTCACAGAAATACAACTGCTCTTTGTACTTGAGACACTGACTTCTAAATTTCTTTTCTTGATGTCATAAAAGCTGACAATTTAGTATAAAGAAGATTGAAATTTAATTTTCAGTCTTTTGGGTGTAACAATTCTCTTTTGAGTTGAACAGTACTCAAGTCCATAGTGATAAACTTGGGGACCAGATACCTGAGTCCTTGGAACATCCCACAATCAGCCAATAAACTTTTACTCGTGCATCAGAATAATTCACATATTCTAAAAAGAAAAGTGAAACTAGCTTGAAAACTATTGTTGAAAACCAATATGAAACTAGAAGAGTCATATTTTCCTTGCAACTAAGTAAATTGCAACTAAGAAAATAGAAGAGCATGTTAAATTAGCCAAAGTTTCTAGAGGGATTTCACCTTTCTCCCACTTGTGACACTACCCAATTTTCACTACATGCACTCATAATCTGTTCTACTGGTGTATATTAAGAAATCTATTATCCTGATAGCAGCAAGTTTCTTTTATAGCTGTCATTTAAAGTCATCATAGGCCTTCACGATCAAGAAAGACAGAAAACTAAATCAGGTACCACACAGGTATTAACAGCCGTGTAAGAGTGACACAACTACTGCAGGGGGATACAGGAATCATTTTTACAACCATCAGGAGCAGCAGTGCCTTCATCTTCACCAAGTATTTGGTGGGCCTCAAGGCAGCCACCAGCCACAAACTCAAGTATCTTCCCCGTATCTGCTGCGAAGTGAAAATCAGCGGGGCAGCTCCTGAGGTAACCAGACCATAAAGGGATTTCTCTGTGACAGCGACAGTCAGCCTCAGCACGAAGTTACATAAGGCACGCAGAACTGCAAACACAGCCACCATCAGTCAACAGCACTTTTAGGCACCACCTTTGCGAAACATTCCCTGTGTGGGAGGAGTCACGACAGCTCGCACCCTCCGCACTCAGCTGTCGCTCCCCACGCCAGCCATCGCCCCCCGTCGGTGCCGGCGCTGCTCCGAGGAGGGAGCACGGCAGAGTTGGATGCGGCGCCGTGCGGGCGTTCGCGCTGGCAGCAGGCGATGCGGGGGCAGCACCAGCCTGTTCGGCAGCCACCCCGGTTCATCCAGATACCTTCCCTGCTGCCTTCCAGCCTGAGAGCGAGCTGAGGGAGAGTTAAGGGCAGGGCCTGGGCAGCGACCAGTGCCCCCTAGGCTCTGCATGCCCGCCCCTCCGTTCCTGCCACCCTCCCGAGCAGCCCCAGCTCTGCTGCGCTCCCGGGGGCGGCAGCGTTCCTGCCACCCTCCCGAGCAGCCCCAGCTCTGCTGCGCTCCCGGGGGCGGCAGTGGGACAGGACGTGTCCCGTGCCGGCTGCTCTGAGCCTGCCCAGCCCCTGCCCAGTCCCGCTGGGGCGATGTGCCCTTGCGGACACAGTCCCGCTGGGGCGATGTGCCCTTGCGGACACCCTGCGCTCGAAGAGCAGCTTGCGACAGAGCTCGGCACTTTTGGGACACCGGGGCTCTGCAGCGCAGGGTGAAACAGCAACCGCGAGTGCCTTCCCGGCGGCAGCTGCGCCGGGAGAACGGTCCGGCTGTGCGCGGCAGCTGCGCCGGGAGAACGGTCCGGCTCCGGCTGTGCGTGCACCTCCCCATCTTCCTGCCCCGACTCCTCCGTCCCGCGATGCCGCCCCCAGACTCACCTGCCGCCGCCTCCCGCAGGCGCCCGCCCGGTGCGCTCGACGGGCCGGCTCTCCCCGGGCTGGAAGTGAGACCGCGGAAAAGCTGAAACCACTTCTCTAACTTTGTTTTGAGCACGGGTGACATAATTGGGCGAGGCGGGCTGCGCCCCGAGGGCGGGCCGGCCGTCCCGGCCTTTCCCTCCCTCCTCCCTACCTGCAGCCAGAGCGCGGTTGCCCCGCCCGGCCTGACCTCACCTTGGGCGAGAGAAACTCGCCGTCGGCGAGACCAGAGAGCCAGGGGAACTTGAGGAGTCTCAGTCTTCCCTGGTCCCTCTTGCAGTCAGGACTACATGCACGATGGCTCTCCAGATTAAGGGTGTGGGTAACTTACACGGCACAGGGCAGGAGAGTTTGGAAGGGTGCAGGAACGCTCATCGACAGCAAGATCTTAAGGTGGCGACCAGTCCAAATGGACCATCTAGGATCTTTCCCATCTTGTCATCTCAGACTATCTGACTGCAACTTACAGAAGGTGGTGATGGGAAGACAGAATTAGTTCACATTCGATTCAAAGATTTCACTTAGCCCAAAGTATGTTTTGAAAAGTACCTGCTTCTGGGATCAGGTTTTCTGAGTAGTCCCTCCAGGAAGAGAAAAAACTTCAACATAGTTCTCATCGCTGTACCATCCCAACTGCAAAATAATTCTTAGGGCATGGTATCTGAAGAAGGCTTCATTCGGTTCTTGATCAATCTGGTTGCAGACACATCTAAGACCTCGACTGCAGTGGTCTGTTCTTGGATCCTTACCAATGTTGTCCACAGGTTCAATAACTGTCCCAAAGTAAAGCTCCATTCACCCAAGGCACTCCTTTTCACAGTAAACAAGAGCTTCTACTTGCCTTCCCAACCCATCTTTTGTGAACAGCCTGTAATCCTTCAGGTTTATCTCCTTAAAGTAAGCTACAATACTAGAGCATTGGTAAAAAAGCAAATCTTGCAGCTATAAAGGGGAATGTGAAGACAACCTGCAGGTAGTCTGCCGAATACAGGCACACATGTATGCCTGGTAAAACTACTTACAAAGCACTACAAGTAATCGCTTAAAACAGTTATTAAACATCAGGTTCATTATGTGAGTTTAACTGGGATAGCTTCTGCTTCCCATATTATTATGATTCTTAGACTGTAGACTTGTACAAGTTTCCACAAGGCAAGCTTGAGTGTGGATTTACAGTACATTAAAGTGCCACTCGACAGTTACTGCTCACATTAATGCTCAGTAAAAAGAAGTAAATATTTGAAACTTGCTTACCACAACAGCTGCCTCATATGTACTGTGGGCTAAAATAGGCACACAGGTAGTTATCATGAAATCATCAGCATGTTGAATAGCTATAATACTCTGCATATACTGACTTAACTCAGGCTTTTATATTTAACCTTTTGCTGTGTGAGTAAAATAGCGGGTAAAAGATGGAATTACATTTCTTTTAAATGTGTGGACAATTTTCCAAGATTCTTTCAGAGAAATGAAGGCACACTGTCAGCCACAAGGTACTAGACACAGTTCAGAAGCTTGTGGAGAAACTGAAGACAGCATATAGAAAGTTTCATAACAGCAGGGGATTTGCCACATGCATGGGGAAAAAAGCTCACTGAAGCAGCATTTGCAGACTTAGTGGTAGCATTAATGTATTAAGGCCCCAGGGAATTTATCTGAAAACTGAGGATTGCTAGGTATCTTGTTGCAACAACTCATTCAATTTTCTTCCTTATCATTTAGTATGAGGCAGTTTGGACTTTCAAGTTTCTCTAAGAAAGTTTTGGGGCCTACTAAGCAATAGTAGAAGAGCTGGTCAATGAAGTTTTCTAGGTCTTGTCTAGACAGCTAATGTGATTTTTACATATATCTGTGGATACTTTGGAGTATAGCCTTACAGAGCCAGCTAGAAATAGGCTATTGCTCTCTGGTTTTGTTCTCTCTCAGAGCAAAAAGCCATGGATTCTATTGCACTCCTGTACTGCTGTGATATCATTCAGCAGTTTCTGATCATATACCTTTATATGCACTCCATTTCATAGCTGATGATGGCAGAGACAGAGAGGCTGATAGACTTCAGCAGCCATAGTTTGTTCTTCATGAATAGCCAGAATCAAATCCATTACCATAGATCTCTCCTGAAGTAAGTGGATTGAAAAGCAGTAAACTCATATACAGTGATGTCAGGGACTACGGTGCTAACTGCAAAGGGAAAAAATAGCCCGAGAATAAAGGTTGGGCATGAATCTACTTCTTAACACAGGCCTAAATTGCAGTGCTAAATGGAATAAAGAATTAAACCCTTTTATATGGGTCCAAAATTTTCTTCTATAAAATCTAGGCATAAACTCACTTGATTTTCTTCAAAGACTAAAAGCAGGAGATTTTGAAAAACACTGGGGTGCAAAACATATTGTCTGGAGGTAGGATCTTTCTGCCTGCTACGTTTAATGTACAATGAGTTAGAAACTGGATGACAGTTTCTACCACTGGGTTATACAAATGCCAGAACTACAAACAGAAACATGGTAGGCAGAAGACAGCTTGCAGCGCTTAAGTCAGGAAATGCCAAGTGCAATATAAAAATAAAACCACCACCCTTTAAATAAAACAGGCTGTATTTCACAGTTTATTTAGGGTGACGTGTGTTTATTTCAGTCTGGAAAGCCATCATACTGCTGGGATGCAAGGGGTCATTTCCTTCTGCATTTAGGCTGTTAGAGGCCTATTTTGTCTTTCCACACTAATGCAGCTTTTAATTGCCTATGAAATTGCACCACCCTGAGGGAACTTCATAGTAACATTCCAAATCGTGCTTTCCTTCTTTATGCTCAAGGATCAGAGGAAAAGCTACAGAAACTGGAATCATATATTTATGAAATTTACAGATTTACAGTAAATTTTACCAGAAATTTACATTAAAATGCAAACTGTATTAAGTGACAGCTAGGAAACTGGAGGTCTTCCATCTTTTCCAGCTCTGAAGTCATCTCACTTGCCAGAGTAAAGGAAATACACATTGAGTTCATGCTCATGTCACCTACAGTGCAGTATGATTGTGCTACACTGAAAAAAAAAAATAAGCAAGACTTTTCTAAAAATCAGGGTTTAATTATGGAGTTAATCTGGCTGTCATCTATTCCAACCCTTGCTCATAGCAGAGTCAGCTAGAAGCAGGTTGTTCAGGGCCTTGTCCAACTGGATTTTGAAAATCTCCAAAGATGGAGACTCCACAACCTCAACGGGCAACCTGTTCTAATGCTTGGCCATGTACACAGTAAAAACATTGTTTTGTTATATTTAGGTAGAATTTCCTGTTTTTTAATTTGTGCCCATTGCCTCTTGTCCTTTCACTTTACAGTACTAAGAAGAGACTAGCTTTGTCTTCTTTATATTCTCCAACCAAGTATTTATATACATTCATAAAATTACTCCACAAGCCTTCTTTTCTTGAGGCTAAATAGTCACAGTCCTCTCCTCAGATGTTTCAATCTCAATCATTTCAGTGGCTGTTCTCTGGATTCACTGAAATACGCCCATGTCCCATACTGGGAAACCCAGAACTGCATAAAACACTCCAGATGTGGTCAAGTACTGAGGAGAAGGGAAGAATCGTCTTCCTCAAACCTGCCAGAAACACTCCTTCGCATTGCAAGTTGCTTTGCAATGACGCTGGCCAGCTCCCTCCCTCACTTCTCAGGGATGCATCCCATCAGGTTCCATAGACTTAGAATCATAGAATATCTAAAGTTGAAAGGGATCCATAAGGATCATCAAGTCCAAATCCCTGCTCCCCGCAGCACTACCTAAAAACTAAACCATACAATTAAGAGCATCATCCAGATGCTCCTTGAACTCTGACAGGCTCGGTGCCATGAGTAGTTCCTTTGGGACCCTGTTTCAGTGACCGACCACCTTCTCAATGAAGAACCTTTTCCTAATTTTTAATCTGAATCTACCCTGGTGCAGCTTCATTGCATTTCCTTGTTGCTGGTCACCAGAGAGTAGATCAGCTCCTCCCCCTCCACAGCTTCCATTCAGGAAGTTGTAGACTGTGGTGAGGTCACCCCTCAGTCTTCTCTTCTCTAAGCTGAACAAACCAAGGTGACCTCAGCCAATTCCTCCTAAGTCTTGCCTTTGAGACCTTTCACCGTCTTGGTCACCCTCTTCTGGACACACTCCAATAGCTTTATGTTCTTCTTATATTGTGGTGCCCAAAACTGCACACAGGACTCAAGATGAGGCCATACCAGAACAGAGCAGAGCGAGAAAATCACCTCCCTTGACTGGCTGCCGATGCTGTGCCTGATGCACCCCAGGACACAGTTTGCCCTCCTGGCTGCCAGTACACACTGCTGGTTCATATTTGACTTGCCAGGGTCCCCCAGATCCCTTTCCACAATGCTGCTCCCTAGTTTCTCGTCCCTCAATTTGTATGAATAACCAGGATTACTGTGTCCCAGATGGAGAATCCAGCACTTGGTCTAGATAAATTTCATACAGTTGGTAATTGCCCAGCTTTCCAGTCTACCCAGATCTCTCTGCAGGGCCTCTTTACCCTCAAGGGAATCCACAGCTCCTCCTAGTTTAGTATCACTGACAAACTTACTTATTGTACAATTGATTCCCGTGTCCTAATAGTTTATAAAAACTATTGAAGAGCACTGTCTGTAAAATTGAGCCCTGGGAAATCCCAGGGCTGCCAGACTGATGTAACCCCATTTACCCAAAGTGTAATGGACTTGTCTAGCTGTGTGCTGGGTAGTTGATTCAGAAGGATATTGTGAGAATAGTATCAAAAGCTTGGTAAAATCCTAAAACACCACATTTACTGGCTTGGTCAACTAGATGGGTGACCTTTTCATGAAATGAAATTAAGTTAGTTAAGCAGGACTTTCCCCTTGTGAACCTGTACTCACTATAATCAATGAGTGCATCGTGTCTCGGAACAACCTTCTCCATAGTTTTATCAGGCATTGAAGTGAGACTGGCAGGCCTGTAATTACCAGGGTCTTCCTGCTTACCCTTTTTGAAATATTGCCAGCTTCCAGTTGACTGGGACCTCTCCAGACTCCCAAGA